TAGAAAAAACAACAACAACAAAAGTATGTAATGAACGGTTAGTATCCTTGTCAAACTAACAAACATAACATCACAGCATTGCATTCATAGTTTATACCATTTTATAAATGAAAATATAAACGGAACCTAGTTTTAAGGCCTACAGTAGGAAGAATATCGTAGGTATCCATCATTATATTGTACCAGTGTAACAAAGGTTTGATTACAATCACCCGGACATATTAAATCAAGTTTGAGCCGAAAATAAATTCCAGCATAACCTCTGATACATGTTATATAATTCATTATCTATAGCTATGAGCTAAAATTGAGTGTTAGATATGACGTTCTTGCTCGCGGACTATATTTTGTTATACAACTTAATTTCGTAAACTCGTAAAATTTGCTTTGTCTGAATTCTTCGTCATGTTTGGTGGTAAAATTTTCCAACAGATTATTGGCATATCTTTGTAGGCTTACATGTTTTTTTTTTCATGCGAGGCTGAATTTATTGAAGAACTTTCAGATATTTTGAATACGTCTTGTCGCTAAATAACAAGAACTGTATTGACCTCTTCCATCGGATATACCTAGCAGAATTGGAAATCAAAGACACGACTCTCGACACGTATCTCTATCATATCCGTTTTCAATCTCCCCATTTAGAATTTTCGATTTCTGGATAGAAACATCCCTGCTTCTCCAACGTTTAGTGTTTGCATTTCGCAGTTTCGTCGACTGATGAAGATTCAGGTTGATGACAATTCTGAAGAAGTTTTACGGGACGGTCGTCATAGTGATCTCATTGAGATTTTCTGTTGTGACTTGAAACTGGACGTGTTTGATGCTGGTTAATTGGCCTGTTGGTTACGTTGTTTATATTTTTTTCTCATTTTAGGACGTACCTGGATCGACCAAAATTACTATGGTTAGTGTCGTCGATGAACAATAAGACTCTTTATCCTCCGCAACACATGGGTTTAGTCTTCTATTGCTTTTTAAAGAGTCTTAGCGTAGATCTTTCTTTTGTTCAAATTGTGACCTAGTTTTATTGAATTTGGGCTTGGATTATGATTTTGTTGACATGTTGGTATTTTCTTTTTTATCAAAGAATGCTCATATAATGTGTCCATAAACAAACACGGTATATGTTGATTACTTGATTAGTATTTTACAATAAGTAGAGCAACGTCGAAAATATGAATAATACAGGATTGGTGATATGTGGTTTAAAAAACACATAAAGGTACATATTCATTAATAGTGAGCGACAAATAATTACATACCTAGTGGTAACACAATTATTTTAGTTAAGAATAGTATTTTATGTTCATGACGACAATTTGTTACGTCAATACTCATTATATGAATGGTAAAATTGTTATATATGTGATATAAGGTGTATAAGGAACAAACGTTACATTATTGTAAAACGTAATAGAAATTTTATCACATGAGAGTATATAAATAGCACTTTAACACACCATGCATTGATGTCTTCTGACCAACCTTAGGTAACTGTCGTAATGTCATTTCTGATATCGCCATTTTTGATACTTTGAAAACCTAATCATAACAAAAGAGAAATAGTTACTAAAATATAGGTTTGCACGATGTATAAAACAGGATCTGCACGCTTGCAAATAGGGTAAGAAGAAAGGTACTGACCTTCAGAACATAGAAGAGCGAAACAGATAAAATAAAACCGATGAGTAACCAGCTTCATTGGAAAGTATATCTCGACCAGCGTATAATACCCACCAACCTATCTGCCGTAATATCCGGAAGAATATGTAGGTCGCCAGACAATGTGGCATTTTCTTTCTATATTAGACCTTTCAGTTCGACACTAGGAAATTCTTTACACCGCAGCTTGGAAGTGATTTAGTTCAATATTTAATATTTGTACTACATGAAATGGATATTCTCATACAAGGTAGTTCAATATTTAATATTTGTACTACATGTAATAAATATTCTCATTTCACTGTAGTTCATAATTAAATATATCTACTATATGTACTGAATATTCTCATACAAGGTAGTTCAATATTTAAAATTTATACTACATAAATTCTCACGCAATGCAGTTTATTATTTAATGTCTATGCTACATATAATGAATATTCCCACACAAGGTAGTTCAATATTTAAAATTTATACTACATAAAGTGAATACTCCTACACAAGGCAGTTTATTATTTAATGTCTATGCTACATGTAATGAATATTACAACACAAAGTAGTTCAGTATCTGATATTTCTTCTACATGAAATAAATATTCTCAAGCATGGTAAGACGATGTATATGTATGTACAGCACAACAGTGGATTATTCTAATCAGTGAGTGTACTGGACAGTGTATACTTTATAATGACAAAGACCAATTATAGCAAATAACATGACTGTTCAGCTGCGATGCAGTATATTTTCATTAATATCCATAGTAATATAAACTGCCTTCAAAATCTCAGAAATTAGAATATAGACGAGGACACCAATTACACTTACATTTTCCTATCCTAAAATGTTATAAGATACAGCGATTTTAAATCGCATTGATAGTATCACTTGTGTTCTTGAAACAGTAAGAAATTATGTTTGTGTAAACCCTGTCAGCGCCCAACGTGATACTTTTATCTGTGATCATTCCAATAAAACGCCATCTCTTCTGATGTTTTAAGATAAATTGTTATGAATTTTCCTTGGTGGCGATGATTTTTAGATTTTTGTGTTTTAACTACCTTGTTTTGAATGATATATGCAAAGTTGAAATCGCTATTCACAGAACAACTGACAGTCAGTATGCTTTAAGCTTCAAAATTAGTATTTTTCATTTTCTCATATACATTAAAATTCATAACACAAATCTATAATATGATCATAGTTCAATAACTATCCCGATAACAAAAGATTTGACTCATCATGTACATTTATATTTTTTTATCATTACAAGACGAAGTGTTGTCTTATCTGATGTTTTCAGATGATTACCGTGAATTATTGTTGTATAACATTTGCATTTAAAATATCGTCATGGACATTAATCATATATACTTAGTTCACATAATTTGGTTTCAAATAAAAACAATATCTCGTTTAGTGTAATCTTAATTTATATAAAGTATCGATAGTCTAGATGTCTTATAAAATTGAAATTTATCTGATATGCAGTATTTGGACCTTCTATCTAGAATAGAAGACCATTATAAGAACAGTGTTAGTTGTTGTGTGGGCGGTAACAACTGTCACCACGTATCCCCTTTAATAGTGAAATCAATTACACCGACTCGGTAATAAATATCAGCTAACTGTGAGTTTTCTCACCACAATATTACTATCACCATTGCTATCACAATACCTTAGGGGCGCGTTTAAATGAACATGAATACAAACACTGAATTAAGAGTGTAAACATCAGACTTTCCTGACACAAATCCATGCGGGCTCTAACAAACCCGATCGAGACTTCAGTTTATTTTTCATTTTATCGTTTAAGAAGAATGCTACAATTTCAACGAAACGCTCAGGTGAATAAATCTTAATAAACGTAACCAGTTATATATTTGTGAGTCATTTCTCTCACAATGAAACAGTTTAGATCTCATTATAACACAAATTCTTTGATCTTAGTATTAGTGTTAATGTAAGGTGCTGTACTTTGTATCATATAATTCCACAAAGGATAAATGTCAATAGTTATTACAAGTCTTACGGATGTGACGGTATCAAAAGAAATACTTCCAACCCAAACTTATCCTTTTTTTTTGCAAATAAACGGTATTGGAAACCGGTATATTTAATTTTATTTCATTTTATTTTATTTTAACACATAAACTTAACACAGTATAATTTTACTTAAAGAATTGATTCTTCAAATTAAACGAATTAAAACCTTGACAAAATAAACATCATCTGACTATAACATGATATAAAATAATGTTTGGAATTATCGTATGATGAGGTTGATTGAGATATAGGGCTAGTCCACCTCTACAACTACATTTTTCATACTTCTTTTATCAATTTTGATTTTCCTCAGTAACATCATAGATTTAAAAATATGGCTCTGACGAGTCCTCGATGGATGGAGGTTAATTATTATTGTAATGTACTTTTGTGTAATTTTTATACAATCATAGAGCGCAATGAAAAAGCCTGGTCGAATGCTTTCTTCTCAGATACTGCCTCTTTGAAATTTCCAGATAAACATTTCTGTTGATGTTTTTATAGCTTATTAATACAGGAAACATATCCCAGTTTCGTTCTCCAATGTATCGACAAAATTCGATTGCTTTTTTTTTCTTTAAACAAGAGGAAATAGATTGTCGTGAGAAACACACTAACATAGATGGGGAAAATGATTGTTGCTGTATACTGTTGCCTTAACACTGTCTCCTCGCACGCTAAAGTGCTTGTAAGAATAAACCAAACGAAATGCACCCTAAAATTATCTCCGGAATTTCCATGCAAATAAACTGCGCGTAGTAGTACTCGAGATGTGAATACGGCGCGATTCCATGTCACTCTGTAAATGCCAACAAAAATGTAAACACGCGCGCACGTGTTGGCGTGTCATGGCGTGATCAATTTCTCCCGAAGAGTTATTGACAGGTCGAACAAGAATAACACGACAAGTGACGCCCGCCCCTCAACTAAGCTCCGCCTTCTTAATGAATTCCTGATTGGGCGACGTGATTGCTGCGCTATTAAAGACGACTTTTGTATAAATATCGACTACAATAAATCAATGCGAGTTTGTACACATTATTCGCCATCCTTTCGGAACTTATTTAAAATCCACATATGAAAGCTTCCTTCCCCAAAGTTACAGAACGGCTCTTCGGCACTGTACTGATAGTGGGGAAAGTTCCGCTTAGGGAAATTGTCAGCAACGCATTTCGGAAACGCGATTGAGGAAAACGATAATTGGATAGCTGTAGAACCACCGGTGCCAAAAGAAACATCACAACCATATCCTGACGCTGGAATTGAAATCTGTGTTTAAGAAGCTTAACAAATGCAGAGCTTAAAACAGCAAGATTATTACCGAACGTGTAGCTTCCCAGCACTTCCGGGAATGGTGTTCCCGGGTAGGTAGCAAGGGATATCCGGGACTTGTCCCGGTTTACTGTGTAATGAGGTAGTGGGATGTTAAGGGAAGCGTGAGGCTCGGTTCCTTCCTCTTAACATCCCGTACCGGATGGCGCTTGTAAATATATCACTGAATCGTTGAATTGTATACATTGTGATGGACATACATCATTGAATGATTGAATAATTCTGTGGGAACACTGCTATTTGACAGCAAAAAGTAATTGTTTCTAGAAACAAAAACTTATAAAAAGAATACAACGACTACATTTTTTTCCAACTATCAGCCTCTTTTTTTATTTGCTAATGTCTAGGCACCTAAATGGGTATATCACATTTTGTCAACATGAAAAACTTATGATTTCAAAAAATATTACGATTACTTACGCCATGATCGTGTACTGATAGAAGAGTAACTGTAACTATAGAACTGCGTTGTGCGTGAGGACTGGATATATTGCCTCAACTGAAGCCATCATTCAAAATTTCTGCTTGTTCTTTTTCATTGCAAGTGATTAGACAAATCCGGTTTTAAAATGTTGAGCATTCTTCAATCTTATATGGTTCGTGAAAAGTAAAAACATGTTTTAAAGAGACAGATTACTGCGTTCGATATAGTTCTACTGTAATGATGAATAATTCTTGTAATATGACGGAAAATATTGCGTGTACTTTAGATTTGCTAAGTTGTTATTTTAAGTGAAATGTATAGAAGTACCGATTATTCTGTTATATATTCTCATCTGTCATATACATATACAAAGTTAAATGTTTTCCATCTACAGTGTAATAATAATTTCATATATATTCATTTATATATATTTAATATATGACTACAAATGTTAACATATGTTTTCGTTCCATTTCAGATCCGTCCTATGGGAAAACTGCATGGTCCCCTCAATCCAGCCCGCAAAGTCCAGGTAGGTTATTTAACATCTTTATCATTACCGGTGTGCCGTGTGTATCTGATTTAATATAAAATCATGAACTGAGAAAGATGTTACCAAAAACATTTCACTAATTACACATAAAAATGTTTACTGCCATTTAAAGAGAGTGTTTTGATACGTCTCTATATTGAAACATTACGTATAACATGTAATCTTTCTATTTCATGTCCCTTTACGTACTTCTTAGCTATAGAAAAATATTTAACGTCAAATTACTGCGAAAACAAATTGAATTACAAATATTTCGTACACATCTGCCTGTTAACGGCACATGTTCTTAGTCTATGTTTCTGTTATCATTGGTCTGTTATGTCATTTATCATTATTATAAATCCCAAATCTTTGTTGTCTGTATTTATATAGATTACATATATACACGATATATCAAATAGGAAATTTGACCAAATTCGATTTCATTTTTTAGTAATTATCACAAATGCGGTGTTATCAGCATTATCTGATTTCTCTAACACGGTGAATATTATATTCAAAACAGTGCATTACACTTGAATAAAGTAATATTACGCCGTATAGGGGATTTTCATTTTTACACTTAATGTTTGACATATAACGTGTTAAAGAAGTATCTGTATTTTTTATTCAACAATTTGTTATATCCATATCAATCTTAACATTTAAGAAAAGGTTAACAGAGTAGTGCATCATTTCGGTTGACATTTAATCAATTTTATTGACAGTTTCTTATACAGATGTCAATTTAATGACATTAAATACCCAGTTACTAGTCATAGTTGTGACAATTGTTCCTGTGGATCAGTGATAGAATTGACTTTTGTGGGAATAGTTATACTATCGTTGATAAAATGTGGTATCTAAACATTACCCTATGATATTAGATGTAAAAATATGTTGATGGAGACATCTTTGAAGGAGAATTTCTATTGGCACGTTGTTTAATACAGCTGTAACTTAAACTTTAAATCAAGACTTTTTTAGTCTTGATTTATTTGTAAATGATATTTAATAAATTATAAGGGAAAGATATGCGGTATCCTTGTCGATATTTTATAAATTACAAAGGAAAAGTATGCGGTATCCTTGTCCAATAACAATATTTTATAAATTACAAGGAAAAGGTAAGCGGTACCATAGTCGAGTAACAATATTTTATAAATTACAAGGAAAAGGTAAGCGGTACCATAGTCGAGTAACAATATTTTATTGGGTGTTATTGATATATTCAATGTCACCTGATATTCTTACAACTGACTGACCGAGTGTATTGATTTGAAACAGCTACTATGATTCAGACTGTGGGTGATAAATCGGATATTGTTTAACTAGTGTAAAGGTGTCACAAAATCTATCATATTAACAAAGTTCAGTAAAAACGTTATATTTAACTAGCCAGAGTTTTACGTAACTTTTGTGTACACTCTCTTCCTCACTCATGCATGTAATTAACTACTGACACGAAGACTTCTACCGACCTGGTGGGCCGTCCAGTAGATATTTAACAAGACGCGTTTCAACTTCGTAAAACCGAATGCTTTATATTTAAGTGAGTAGATACAAATGTAATGCGAGCATAAATACCGTTCATTATTTATTATTTATTGCAAATCCGCGTTTTCTTAAATTTAAAACAAAGTTTCCTTTTTTTCTTTACTTTGTAGCGGGTGATGTTTCTATTTTTACTCTATGATTATAAAAATGACATCAAAATGTGAAATATAATTGACCTAATTGTTATTGTAATATGTTAGTAACCATAATATAATATGTAACTAACCATAATATAATATGTAAGTAACCATAATATAATATGTAAGTAACCATAATATAATATGTAACTAACCATAATATAATATGTAAGTAACCATAATATAATATGTAAGTAACCATAATATAATATGTAAGTAACCATAATATAATATGTAACTAACCATAATATAATATGTAACTAACCATAATATAATATGTAAGTAACCATAATATAATATGTAAGTAACCATAATATAATATGTAACTAACCATAATATAATATGTAACTAACCATAATATAATATGTAAGTATTATAATATTTAACTTACCATAAAAATATGTAACTTATCATAATGTTATATATAAGGAATCACGTAATCTTTATTCGTGTGTTATTTTCACATATAAGAATTACTGTTATATTGTAAATTTCATCGAACTCCGTTTGATAAAACTGTTCATGTTATATGCCAACAGGATATGCTTATCATAAACTCTTTATGGCGTAATTAATGTACATTACAATACAGCTCTCATAATACTCTATCATTAATGTACAATATTATATTAATTTTGATCAGGCTTCAATTCGTCTCACTCTATATAAGATATATGAATTTTTATCAATGTCCTCATGTAAAGCTAAAAATCTGTAGAAAACAGACATCGTTTTCATTAATTTTCTAAATTTACGAAATTGTAAGTTATCAGTATCATTGAACTATTAGGACTGGTCAGAATAAATAACATTGTAAAACCTCATTCTATAAATCAGTCCGAATTTCAGGTTTTCTGGAATATCAACGTCCAGATTACTTCTATTTATGTATTAATTATTAAATTATCATATTTAATTAGAACGTTTTTCTGAATACGGTTATAAAAATGTAATAATTGCCGTCTGCTCTACTTTTTAATTATAATTACTTTTCAAAGACAAATATAAAAGTATAAAAGCTGTTAGCGGTATGAATATAAAACGAGATTAATCAGGGAACGATTTATCAGTTTTCTGAACAAAAGTTTGTGGTTTATCTCTACTACAGGAAAACGTTTTTAAATAATAGCGCAACCAAATAGGACAATAGTTATTGGCCTTCATATCATTAGCATGTATAGATTCAAAATACGAATTAACCAACTGTAAAGATTATCATACTATAAACGCCAATATTTTTATTCTAACCTATTAACAAAACCTTTTTATCAATCCATAAGTTGCATAAGAAATCAGTTTTGTGTAATACGATGTTTTTCCCATTTCATTTTGATGCCAATAATAGTGAAATTTATATCAATCAGTTCTGTAAATAATCCCAATAGATCAATAAATGTTAAAAATAAAGCATGCCATATCGGTTTGTTAAAGTTCTTTATGTGTTACTTTGATATAAAATATGATGAGCTATTTTGTAAAGATTTCGGAATGTATCAGGACCGGAACAGGCCATTTCACGTACAGTTTAAACTTAATATTTGCGTATGAAATAATTCCTATTGTTGGTTAACGATTCCATACCTGTTTTCCCAATAATTTTCAAAATAACGATATCTTGTTTACCTCAGGTTATGTATCACTATACAGCATAACTATTGTAGATGTTACATACTTTTAATGCTGATAGTCAGTACATCACAGTATTATGTGGCGAACGGTTGATATCCAAATTACCACAACGTGTATTTTGTTTTGTAGGCTATCCTCATCACAATTCTATAACAACTATAAGTAAGCCGGGATTTGAAGTTCCCTACGCTTCCTGGCGTCCACAAGGTATATACAGTGTTAGAATTCATGTAATTAATTAATTAATTCTAATTAATGATCCACAACAGCATCACACTGTTATATAAATAAAGTGAAACAAACACATACCCAAGGTGTTCTATACATAATTACATATGTTCATCTAGGTACAAACAAACAATATTATTTAAAAAAATTTTTTTTTTATAATGTTCTCTAAATTATTGTATTATCATATGGAATCGGTATTTAATATGCCAATTAAGAAACAATTGTATGAAGGTAGTATTGAATTATATACAAGGGGTATGTCCTATAAACATACGAATAGAACAACTCGAAAAATAATACTTTACAAATCAGTTCTGGTAATAAAAGCTTAATTTCACTGGTTTTGTCATTTGGTATGATAATGAATTATGATTTAAAGGGAATTTTGAGTTCATCAAAAACACAATATGATAATTATGTGATTTCGGAAAAATATTAACAGGACATTCTATCAATTATTAATTTATTTCATGATATTGAGATAGAATAAACCTTATATTTCTGAGTAAAATTTTATGAATGATTTATAATTATCGATATGATACACAAGAAAGGTGTTCAACACACATATAGCAAAAAATAACCCATATACATTATAACAAACTATAGCAATTTACAAAGATACGTCATATACAAAGTCAAATAAGATTTCGTTGATGATGTCTTTCTGGTATCATAATTAACTATTAATAAACAATAGGCGTTCTAGTATTATATTTAAAATAGGATAATTTAATCATGGTTAACAATATAATCTATACCATATAGAGTTGTAAGTTAACATATATGAATGTGTCCTAACACAAAAGTAATAGTAAAGGTTAATTAAGACAGAAGGTAATACAGTTGACGCAACCAAAACCAAGATAATTAAAGTGATAATTAATAACCATAAGTGAAGAAAAGAATAATCATGAATTTCATAACAATTCTATTCACAGTTTGTTTGGAAAATAGCAATGTAACAATATTTACTATTCTATCACTAATATCTACGTTTTCATTTAGGCCTAGAAGGGTTTAATGTTAAAATTCTGTTGGCTTAGTTTTTCAAAATTAAAAGCCATTTAATGTCCTTTTTTACACACAATTACGTTTTAATATTTATTATCAATTAGAATATATTTACTCCTAGGTTTAATGCTACCATATGGTTTGTCGGCCCCGAAAACATATTTTCCAATTTCACAATCTGTCTACATAGGTATCTGATCTTTTTGTCAATATCTCACAGATGTAATTGAGCATTTTAATGCACAAACCGGGCGACGGGGATAATTTGGTAAATTTCCGGAAAGACCTAGCAACGAAATCAGAACACCACAGCAATAAGTCATGAATACGCCTAAAGGTTTCCTAATTCTCATTTCATTATCGGTAAATAATTTCCGAATTTCATTTTCAACATTTTCCCTCTTGGCAATGAGAAAATTATTCCTAAATTACCACGTTAATTACAGTAGAAGTTATCGAATTTACCGACCGGATTCCGGATACCTTATAACGTTTCCAGTTTAGGAATATCCGAGATTTGTACAAGATTTCATCCATAATGAAAGATTTAAAGCAAACATCTGTTTCCTACGCGTCAAAATTCCACCCGAGCTGGGGTGTATCGGTTGATTGTGGTATTTACAGGTGTAGACACCGTTAGACACTTGAAACGCAGCGATAACACCAGCATGGCCATCCATTCGCTCCCCAAGGGTAGACGTCGAGTTCAACCTCCAATCAATACATAGCCATATGGACAATCAATCCCTCTTTGTAAAACCATTAAAGAGACGTAATACTATCTGCAACAAATACATCCTCTTCTTGGTTAAAATTTATTCGTCTGAAAAAATATTTGTTCTAGTTAAAGGTATTATTTTCGTTTTCCGTTTACTGTTCTGGAGTGTCGTGCACACTGTGACCCGGCCCTTTAATACTTTCTCGAAGTAGTGAGACCCGACAGAAAAGCAATTTAAATTTACTTTAAATGTATCTGTTTATAGCTTGTACGTACGTCTGAAACATTGGATGTAACCCAAACTGCTTTCAATTTATTTTTTAAATGTTTCTGCATCGGTTGCTTTTAACAGCTTGTCGATGCTGAATTAAAAAGAGAAATGAAGTTTAATTTGGTTGTAGAGTAAACTACTGTGCCTACCTTGTATAGCAATTAACCTAGAGTAAAATACTTATGTGCACCAGATTATACTACTACAATCATATTTTTAGTATTTACAGAGGGGACATATAATAGAGAGAAATAGTTATCAAGATGACGAAGATAATTAGGGATCAGTTTAACTTGATAACAAAATAATATTTTCAGCACTGATACCATTGCACGTTTTATTGTGTTCAAATGAATCTATTCTTTATGTTTTTGATATCGTATTTCAGGGAGTGGACAAATTCAGCTGTGGCAATTTCTTCTAGAGTTGCTCTCTGATAGCAGTCTGTCAAATTGCATCACATGGGAAGGTACCAACGGGGAGTTCAAGCTGGTCGACCCAGACGAAGTGGCCAGACGCTGGGGTGAGAGAAAAAGCAAACCTAACATGAACTACGACAAACTTAGTCGCGCACTCAGATACTACTATGACAAAAACATTATGACAAAAGTTCACGGTAAAAGGTATGCATACAAATTTGACTTTGCTGGTTTAGCACAGGCGATGCAACCCGCCACCACCGACCCAACGTCTTATAAGTACCAACAGGACTTCTTCATGTCAAGTTATCACCATAACACAAAGCTCAACTTCATGAATGCTCACCCACCTATGCCTACCTCAAGTGCTCACAGTTTATTCGGTCCGCCTTCAGGATACTGGTCAGCGCCCAGTCCAAACCTCTACCCTAATATCCCCAACCACCATATGGCACACCACACATCACACATGACACCACATCTCGGTTCATATTACTCATGAAAAACACGTGCATTAATTTTTGAAGGCATTCCATTTTCATGAAAAAATGCTCTTAATGAAAGCTCATCTCCTTGACAGAAGATGCTTTCTACGTTTTAAGGAGAGAACAGGAATTTTTCTCCGATGGTATTCCATGGCTGTGATGTCCGTTTGTTTTTACAGACTGAACGAAGAGGACAGGTTAGATGCAATATTGATATATTGCATGAATATAGTGTGTGCTTGGACAGGCCTGTTTAAATCATGCCCATACAAAAAAAGCATGTGTATTTGTGAGTTGTGCCGTTTGTTAAGTTGATGGCAAAAGACCAGACCAATGTTCCCTGTTGTGATGGGCAATGATTTTCGTCTCCCTTCAAAACGTTATTGATGAATTTGGTTGTCGCTGTCCGTTGCCAACGTCTATAAGGAGCTTTTGTCGGCACTCTTCACCCCAGCAGTGGTAGGGGCAAGATGTGAGCTATAATTAAGTGATACGTCAAGAACTCTAACGGGTTAAGATCAGTCTAGTAAGCTATTGATTATTTTTACTTTGATAAATCTAGAGACGTAATAAATTAATCGAAGGAAATGTCTTTTTCTAATGTACAGATGAAATATAGAGTATGAACGAATGATCTATGAGATGTGCGCGATCAATTCCATTTTCACAACAGTTGCTAGAATCGACGACGGAAGGAAGTCGGTCCGGAGACGCTATTCCGCTTGTAATTTCTTCCTTCTTGAGTGAGTTCATTTAGTATCGTTGACTCTGACAGATAGAAAATTGGATTTCTCAACTGGAAAGAATAAAAAGTCGAGTTTAGACTTCTTCCGATTACAGAGATCGTATCCGCTTTTATATAACAACGTGCCTTGTGTGTGTAATGTCCATTCAGGCAGTCTTACTGTGTTTCGGATGAACATTTCGGATGGATATTTAGGATTATCTCTGATTTTCGTTCTTATCGATATAGCAAATCAGATTCATTTCCTGACCTGACGTGGTAGCACAGCCGTAAGTGTTCCCAAGGGTGCGCACTGTGATGCCGTATTATCTTGTTAGCGTTATTTACCACTACCACTACGGTGCTAGTAGAATATTTAAATGTTATCCTAATTAAATGATGAAGCAAACATTAACACAGAGATAATGTCTTCTAAACCATGAGAGGTCTCATCTTCTTTCAATGTCCGCTGTCACCTGCGAGAATTCATATAGACCCATGAATACAGACGCCTTTCAATAGCCCCACGTTCCCTTATAGCTAATAATTGCTAAATGTTGGTTGAGACGCGAATAATGATGTTGAATAAATAGCCACGAATGGCTGTCTGTGCAATAAATGACGTTCTTTCTCGTGTGATCTTCAGGACACGTGCCTATGCACGGTCGTTTCTATGACGGTTCGTGCTCACCGGAATAACAGTGGTCTGTATGTAACCGTTGAATTACAGACCGTAGTGGGACTAGTCATCAGTAATATTCTGGTCTTTTATTCTGGCGAGCCTGTCTTTGAGAAGGACGAGCTATTATCAATTTCTGAACGGTCAGGATGAGCGCGTGATGTTATAGAAACGAAAGTGATACAATGAAGTTCACACAATGAAAACGAGATCATGGTGAACGTATTGTATTCAAATGAAATATTGCTCGAGAGGTTTGTTTATTGAATATATTGATACTAATGATGATGAATGTAATAAAATGTGATAAAACAATAAAATATACAAATGTAGGTCGATCTTTCTTGTTTTCATTTTTTATAATTGTAAAAGTCTTTATATTTCAAAAGTGCAAATGAAAAAGGAATTCGATTGAAAAAATTGAATATAAATCAGTTGTTTTTGTTTAAGAGAAATGCAAACCAGTTTACTTGACTACCAAATGTCCAACTATTTGGTAATCAAGTTAAATGAAAGTACGCCAAGTAATTTAAGATTTTAAAATCTTGGTTTAGAAGAAAGTCATGGCAATTCCTGAAAAGATTTTATAAATTAGTAATGATACCTTGATCACTGACTTTAACACGTGACCAATCAAAGGCACTAATATCCATACACTTAACCTCTATACATTCATCAAACATTTATGCCATGTTCGCCTAACAATGAAGTGACATTTCAGACAAAAGACAGTTATGATGTTTACGAATAGCCATAGTATATACACATATCTCCTAGAAATAAGATTTATATATAGTAACATAACAAAATATGAATTGTAAGTGTTTAACAACATTTATAAGATACATCGATAATTTTACTAATCAAAACAATTTAATAATTTCAATAACTTTTAAAAGGGAAAAATAAAAGAAAAAAAAAGGAGAAAATGAATTATTAAACGTGATATAAAACTCTTCCTTCAGTCATTAATATTAAATTACAGAGAACAAAGAATGTTATTGATTTCATTGTGTCATAGTAAAACTACGAAACTGTCTTCGATAAATATTCATTGAAATATGCTATGTATTCTGTTGTAATCGACAACATATTCTTAACATGTAACGGAACAGGAAATTACAGTCAGCCCACTGAAAAATATTAATCGGGAATGAAATTCATTTCTGCTAATGACTTGAAATATTTGGTATCTTTTTTCAACCCCCCTCCCACAAAAAAAAAAAAACGAAAAAATATGTTGAAGGCATAACCGTAAAAGTAACATATAGGATTTACTCGATATTGATTTTCAAGTATTAAACTCTCCACAGAATACAAGAGGCAGCTTATTGAATACCATAACGTTTGTGATATAAATGTAACATAGAATTTCGCCGACTTTTTCAGAGATATAATTTAGAAGTAAAATCTCATTAGAAGTACAAAATTATAGGATGCCTCGACTTTTCTGAGTCGATTCGATTTCCAATCTGTTTATTAATTGATATGATAAAATCGAACGCTTTTTGTTTAGTTATTTATGTTGTCATGGTATTGGCATGGAGTTTTTTCATTATGCATTTGACTGAGTTTTTATTTTAAATCCTGAATTGAAGTTTTGTTTTTCATTCTTGTTTATTTGTTCTTATGTAAAATATAAACAAATCCTTTTTTCTTTAAACATGAGCGCAATATGTTAATATTCCAGGTATATTTTCCACTTGCTTTTATCATCCTAGTCCGGAGGTCAGTATTCTGATGCCGTTTTTTATTTCTGTGATACGTGATAAATCGTTACATAGAAGTGAGCATATTACTAACTAATGTTTGATATCGAGGTTTACACATTTGGCGACCAACAGCTTGCTATATATTACAAAAATCTTCGAACGTCAACTCCATAATCTACATGCTTACTTTGCTTATGTTTCCATATCGTGTATAACAGATTACTGACACTCATTCTACGACACTGTCTATTATACCTGAAGTATTTACTATCACAGTGCATGTTTCCGTGAGGGAGAAAGCTTTAGTCAAACAAACCATGTGATCACACCATATAATTTGTCATTGTCGATGTTTAGATATATACATGTTCATTTGTTTACGGATATCAGGCATTCAGAACAGAAAAGGTGTCAATATTTCATACAAACTCAAAATTCTAATTTATGAATATTATTCGCTGACAGAAGACTAATATAGGCTCATGGGAGAAGACTTATAAAGGCTTACAGTCTTAATATATCATCCCTTTGATATTTATATCATTAAAATGTTTGAAATGAATAAAAATTTTCTTAAATGTATGATCACTTCTGTTTATGTTTGTTTTCACTTACATATCTCACCTTGAGGAGCGTCGTGTATGAGTCACGAAACAAATATTATTTGTTGAAGTTTTTTTTTATAAATAGAGAATAAAACAGCAGTGGTTTATAATTACATATCAAATATAATGATGTTCTATGTAACAATATGTACTGTTTACTTCAGGCATTCATTACAACGAGAGACAAAAATGTGTTCAGTTTTATATAATCTATGTATATGACTAATGTAACATAGCAAGGACTGGTTCTATAATGTAAACATTTCCCTCTGATTATACTGTCAGATCAGGGAAATCAGCGAGAAATTTATAATTTGTTCAACATCGATGATATCATGAAAACATTTTTTTTCTAATTGTTCAATCCTACCAAACGTTCACGTTTGGGACAAAGGTCCTCTCAACATTTAGTGATAATCACAGTGTCTGACGCCGGTCGTAGATTGAAGGTTGGAACCGTTCCATATGAGAAGTACCAGCTCTTAACATGAAAAACCAATGATGTTATAATCCTAACGATTCTTGGGCATAGCACGCAACACACAGACAAAGGTCATGACTCGTCTCTATGTATTCACACTTCATTACTGACTATTTATTCCCTCTATATCTTGTATCAGAGCTAAATTTCAATAATGTGTTCAGGAATGTAAGGTTACTTTTTACTTTCCTAGTTTTTTCTAGAATTGTTTTTATCCATAGATTAATTTCAGACTCCGTTAATTGTGGATCAAATAGATGTACCTATTAAATCATTTTTGTCACTTAGTACAAATCATTAACGTTTGCAAAAGGTACTTCTCGACTTATTATGTATAGACAGTATTGGTAAACTGAATGCATAAGAAAATTCATATGATTAAATACAGATTTAAAAGATAACAAATTGAAGGGTGATAAACATTTGTTTACCACACTCTATCGTATCGTACTTTGGAAGAAAACATATTACAATATTTGTAACCGTTTCTTCCTATTCTTGTATATTATTCTTTCTTCTCGAGAGTAAATTTAATTGTGATGAAATAACAATTGATTAATGAAATTAATAAATGCAATATCAGAAACAAAGCAACCCGGATGGACAGAAATAATCATGATAATAATGATGAAAAAAAAATCAATAAAAATTTAAAAAAAGCTTAAAGCGACAATGATAATAAAGAGCTATTGCTGTTATATTGGCGTTTCGGTTTTTTGCCTCTTCAAGTGTCCACTGTTGTCATAAAATTTGTCCTCGCGTCCTACCGTAAGTTTTAGCTCTCTGTCCAATTTTCATTTCTACCCCAAAAAATAT